AATTAGGGAGTTATCTACTAAGCGGTTGCAAGATGCAGTCGCAACATGAATAGGATCGGAGTTTCATTCATTAGAATGAAATTCTGATACAAACAAAGTCTCGAATTGTGTCCTAACACGAATGAACAAACTGTTCTCATTCTGTTAGGACGCAATTAGTCAGTTTCACCGACATCCTGTCTAAATGACAGGACGTATCGCGGGAACAGGAAGGAAAGCTTAGAATTGTGAAAATATTTCTCTGACCACCGGAAATGAAGCACACTTTGCTCCTCCACTGGTCAGAGATGGTCAGGCGTAGGAAACCTCCATAAGACAAATAGTTCCTACTTTGTCTTATGTTTTAAAGAAAACTAGAGCAGACAGGAAGAAATGAAGAACAGATCCTGACAGAGGGAGAGAAGAGGAATTGATTAAAGAAAGCTAAGTTCAGCATGACAGTGCTGCTTTAACTAATTGTTAAGAAACCATAGAAAGAAAAGGAAATTGGAATGTATGGGGTAATCCAAAGTAGTATACCCCAGGCAGAGAAGCTATAACAGTCGGGAAACCAACAATTGAATATGAAATTGCCCCTAGTATAATTTCCCTTATGGTCAAGTGCTCCAAGCCAATATAATAATATATAGATAATAGACAAGAATGCAGACCTCAATTGGTCCGCTCATAAGTAAAGGAACAAGTAGTCCCATATAGGATATGCCTTGAAGATACAGAGGTTAGCCAATAGTATAGAAAAGATAGCTAAAAAAATAATCTGTAAATAACTGCTTCAGGGTAACCCCTCATAAACTAGATATAGCCAGTGTGAAATAAGCTAAACACTGCTGCTTCAAGGCAGCCTATCATCTACCTAAAATAGCTGATACGAACTCATCTTCTACTGCCTAAAAATAGAAACTGCCTATTTTCCCTGGTAGATCGTTAAGATTTATAGTAATAGCAAGTTGCTAAGATATGCAAAAGCTGTCCAAGTATTAAAAATGAACAGTGGAGCATCTGCTCAACACGCATTTCAGCACTTGAATGCGCCTTTGTCAAGATCTAAGATCAGACTGAAATGTTGCCTCCTTTTAAAAGGAAAATTGAGCAGCCCCCCCCCCCCTTTTTTGTGTGTGATATCAGTAAGACCTTTCATCCTTTCTAAGAAAGGATTAAGGAACATGTAAGGTCTCCCAAGTTAAGCATAGAGACCCCCATCACCCATCACCTTATGGAATTTCCCTCAGGAGATTCCCAAGGACTTTGTTTCTGTGGGTTGGAAATGGTTAAACACAACCAAAGAAGGAGTGATTATGACAGGCTCCTGAGACAACTTAAGAGCTTCTGGATTTATCGCCTGAAGACTCTTCAACCTAAAAGGTTAAACAAGGGCTTCTCTTTTGCACCATTTATTTAATTGCCAAAACATTTATAAATATGTTTTATTATTGAATTCTCTTATATCCAACATTGACATTAATTTTGTTCCAGTCACTTGTCACATATGTAAATGAAGCTCAGACTGGATACATAGATATGTACATTAATATCTTATGTTTATGTCTAACACTTCTATATTTCATTTGATGCTTAAACCGGACATCCAATTTTAAAAGACTTTCTTAATATCTTATCTCTCCCTATAAGGGATATATACCTTAAAGGACCACTATAGTGCCAGGAAAACATACTTGTTTTCCTGGCACTATAGTGCCCCTAGGGTGCCCCCACCCTCAGGGACCCCCTCCCGCCCGGCTCTGGAAGGGGGAAAGGGTTAAAAACGTACCTTTTTCCAGCGCTGGTCGGGGAGCTCTCTGCCTCCGATCCTCCTCCGTTCCTCCTCCTGGGCTGAATGCGCACGCGCGGCAAGAGCTGCGCGCGCATTCAGCCCGTCGCATAGGAAAGCATTACAATGCTTTCCTATGGACGCTTGCGTACTCTCACTGTGAAAATCACAGTGAGAAGCACGCAAGCGCCTCTAGTGGTTGTCAATGAGACAGCCACTAGAGGCTTTGGGGGAAGGCTTAACCCATTAATAAACATAGCAGTTTCTATGAAACTGCTATGTTTATAAAAAAATGGGTTAACCCTAGAAGGACCTGGCACCCAGACCACTTCATTAAGCCGAAGTGGTCTGGGTGCCTAGAGTGGTCCTTTAAGATTTACGAAATTCTTTACATGCTTTCTGACATTGGTAGAGTTAATTTGTTTGCTTTCATGACCCTCTGGCATTGGAGGGGTTAATTTGTTGGTTCTAATGACCCTCCTCCTATTTCTCTGCCTAATTGGATATGCAGCTTTCACTGACATAACAAAAAAAAAAAAATAATCAAAAAATAAATGAATAAAGGGGCGGCTCTATTTTCCCTTTAAAAGGAGGCAAGATTTCAGTCTGATCTTAGCTCTTGACAAAGGTGCATACAAGTGCTGAAATGTGCATTATGCAGATGCTCCACTGTTCATTTTTAATACCTGGACAGCTTTTGCATGTCTTAGCAAATTGCTATTACTATAAATCTTAACGATCTCCCTGGGAAAATGGGCAGCTTCGATTTTTAGACTATTTTAGGTATATGATAGGCTGCCTTGAGGCAGTTTAGCTTATTTCACACTGGCTATATCTAGTTTGAGGGGTTACTCTGAAGCAGTTATTTACCAAAGTATTTATTTTTTATTTATTTTTTTATTTTTTTAGGGGCAACTTCATATTCAATTGTTGGTTTCCTGGCTGTTCTAGTTTCTCAGCCTGAGGTTTACTGCTTTAGCTTACCCCATGTATTCCAATTTCCTTTTCTTTCTTTGGTTTCTTAATGATTAGTTAAGCTGATTAATAAGAGTCACTGGTTAACACCATACAGAGCCTTCTTCACTCTACAATATGTGCCTATGATGCATTACACTGCTTTAGGATCAGTCTGCTATTCTTTATCTACATTTATTGTCATATATTAAAAACTATATGAGACTTTCAAAAGACTTAGCCTGGTTCTTTCAATTTGTATGCAAGTTTGCAACATAGTATCAGATTCCATTCACCTGCTTTCTAGTCTATTTCCAAGCTGGGAGATCATTCTGACTATCTATATAGGATCCATCTGCTTGTCCAATTTTATTTATTTTCTATTTTTTCACTTTAAAACATTTTTCTGGCACTGCGTTTTCTCGTGTGTATTTGTATCACACTTCTAGAGATTTAATAAAGTTGTGAATGATAAATGTTTAAGTTTTTCTCATTCCAATGTTGGACTAGTACTTTAATAAGGTTAATAGGATTGGTATTGGGCTGTTTCTTACTAGTTGGGTTATGCTCTAATTATCCCACAACCATTACAGACACTGTGCTAGATTATCTTTCATCGTGTTTGTGTATTCATCAAATTACTTATAAGCATAGCATTTAGCTATAACTAATGTGACTAAATGGAAGAGAATAGGGCAATGGAGATATATTCATGAACCTCCATTTATTGACCCAATTGTTCTGATGAGTTTTACTGCCTCTTCAAGGACGACATTCCTTTAAGATCGAGCCGTGCTGTATAGCAATGGGTGGATTTTTAAATACCTGCTGTTATGATATGCGCTGGGACACCGTTGGAAGCCCGGCGCATGCATAGTGACGGATGAGCAGCCTACAGGTATTCCCCCATGGTTAAACACCCACAGGGATGATCACCCTGTTGTGGCTGCTGTAGGAAGCAGATCAATTGGCAGTGCAATGCTAGGTGATCTACGCAGGCATTCCGGAAATTGTGGGTGGATTCAGTGTTTAAAAAGGATTAGGACAGGGGTTTATCTGTCCAAATAGAGTGGAAAGAATGGGAATGAATGTGGAATAATGTGGGAAGTGGTGAACAAGTGGGCTTTAGATCGCATAAATCTCAACTGGCATACAATAGCCCCTACCAAGGCTGGAAATATATAGTACGTTTTAAGAATACTAGATCCCAAGCGTACCAGGAAATGGGTAGTGAGACAGCAGCCACAAAATGTAACGATCAACAGCTGTAGAGGGAATGTACAGGAAAAGTGCTGCCCAAAGTGGGGCAAGTTTGTCACTTTAAACTAAACAGAACTAATGAACTAGTGAAACAGAAAAAGGATGTAAAAAATGACAGGGTATTAAATCAAAATGAAAACAAAGACTGATTTGTACCACTGTGACACATATGTGGGTCGCTCACCCTGACACACAGACTCGGATTACAATCAGATAGAGGATTGTATTCAGCAAATAAAGGAAGATTGGACCTTCCTGCATACTTTTATGCTGCCACACTCCCTGGCCACACCTCTGCCATCTGATTGGCTTGTGGGCCGTCTGGTTATTGGGGGCTGGGTATTTAAACCAACTCAGAGGATACCTATGGCCACTCTGCTCCTGATGACGGCGTCTTAGTATAATGAAATGCGCGTTGAGCACTTTTATTTTCCAATTTGCACTTGGGTAGTGCTATGCATGTTTGAATTTTTATTTTGAGTGTTCAGGGTTACTTGTTCCAGTAGGCATTATCTCTGTGCGATGCCGAGGTGTGTGTATATATAGGGACAGAGAGAGATGTTTTTTATTAATTGGGAATTTGTAGTACCTTTATCTTTTGCAACCTCCTGGTTCCCTCTCTGGCGTTTTGGGATACAGTCTACAGGGGAGGTTTGGATGAGTCTAGTTTATTCCCTACATGTCCAGAGGTGGACACTACCCATCTTACACTCCTGGTTTAATATGGGTTATATTTTCTTTTTAAGTGGACCATTATTTTTTTGTATCATTGAGAATAAAGTTCACATTTTTCGGCCACTTACATTACTTTTGTGCTTCTTCCCAGTGTATCCCACAATTTTGGGTGACACTGGGATTTTTGTTCTTGGTTCCTTTTATTAAGAGCAAAATGTTGTAACGTTGATGGAATTACTAGACCTACATGTAGAAGTTAAAATATCTATTAAAGTCTTACATGGAAGATCTCCTAAAAGCCTCACAAGGGAGAAAATAATGGGAATACAATAAATTTACTCACCTGTGAATATCCAAACACCCCCAAGATCTGTGCTATGGGCATGGTTGTAATTGAATGGTAATCACCAATGATACCAGCCAACTTGCTTCTTCCATTTATACAGTAATAATTAGGAACAGTCCTCCTTGGTCCAGATAGAATCTGTAGAACACTTTTCACAGCTTTCCTTGGGTCTTTACATGAATCATATAAATGGTATCCCAGTGTGATATTTGGTAAAATCGATGGATTTAAGTTAATCTTTCCAATGCCAAACATAAAATTGAGCAAGTGATAATAATTTATTATAGATTGCCTGTAAAATTAAAGTCAACAGAATTGTTATAACTTCAGGGTAGAAACTCCAAGTCTAAGATACAAATGCTGATTATTCCAAAGTATGTTGTAATAGGAGGATTCTGTCTCAAAGCTACAGCTTTTTCAAATGTTCTATTGCTCTTTGTTAACAATCCAATATACAGCATGCAATTGGTATTTAAAATTATTTATTTATTTTTATTTAATTATTTTTTTTTGAGTGGCAGGATTTTCACAGAAATTTTGGGAAAAAATCGACACTCCACTTGAGGCACTCATAAATAAGAATATTAATTCAATTTCCATCTGTTCAACTTCTTCAGATGTTTAAGCAACTCTTGTCCCTCATTGAAAGATCAATGCTTTTTAAGACATTTTTTTTTAAATCAAATTTATAATGGCAATGTTTATCACAATATTCCTTGCAATCCCTTGCATAAATACATAGAACTTGGTAACTCTTCCCAGACATGTGCTAGACTGGTTAACGCACTTCAATACATTCACATATAGCATAATAGACATTGTTCACAAACTCAATGTGCATATTGATAAATTCTTTATAATCCCCCTACTGTCTGATACAATGTAGATTTGGAGGTAAGCTAGGAAGTAATTAAAGGGACACTATAGTCACATGAACAACTTCAGCTTAATGAGGTTGTTCAGGTGAGAACTATAGCTCCCTGCAGCCTTTCTCATGTAAACACTGTATTTTCTGAGAAAATACAGTGTTTACATTGAAAGCTAGGAACACCTCCAGTTGCAGTCACTCAGAATGCCACCAGAGGGACTTCCGAGTTAATTGAGGCATAAAACTCCTCAATCCACTGAGACCCGCTGTCAGCAGAGCATAGGGCAGCACTGTGTCTCCTCTCTCTGAATGCAGACACTGAACTTTCCTCATAGAGATTCATTGATTCAGTTCATCTCTATGAGGAGATGCTGATTGGCCAGGGCTGTGTTTGAATCATGTTGGCTCTGCCCCTGATCTGCCTCCTTGTCAGTCTCAGCCAATCCTATGGGGAAGCACTGTGATTGGATCAGGCTACAACTTCTGATGATGGCAGCAGACTGTTTTTTGTTTTTTTTTGGCAAACAGCATGCAGAGTTACAGCTTCTGGCTTGAATATAGCAAGATTTTTACTATATTTATGGAGGCATGAGGGGCCCAGTAGTGGCATACTAAGAGGTGGACGGAGGGGGCGGTCCGCCCTGGGTGCCACTCACTAGGGGGTGCCCGGGGCACTCTTTCACAGGGGTGGAATTTTACCGCTACTGTGTACTATGTAAAGGGACTGGGCCGCGTACAAGAGTCTCCACGCTCATTTCACATCCAGCAGCAGCAGGTCCTCTGTTCTCCCAATACATGATATCTTTGCCGCGGGTTGCCGTAGAACTCTCTCGCGGATCGCGAGAACAGTGAACCTGCTGCTGCTAGAAGTGGATCAAAGGTGGAGAGTCCTGTGCCACTCTTCACGGGCCAACTATGCTGTGCCACCGGACCACCGGACCACCAGGGAACATAGTGTGTTCCCCCTCACTGGACAATGGTAAAAGTCAGGGACAGGGGAGGGGGGGCAGGCAGGTAAGAGTCGGGAGGGGGGTGTACCCAAACAATACACACTTCCCAGCACTTATCCCACACAACACACAGACATACACTGCATACACTATACACACGCATAAACTATGTACACACTACATAGAATGAATGCAGAAATACACAAACATACACTGCATCCACTACACACACACAGACACTCATACAAGTGTGTCTGTGTATGTGTTAGTGTGTGTATGTGTATCTGTTTGTGTGTCTGTGTATCTCTATGTATGTTTGTGTCTGTGTGTCTGTATATGTGTGTTTGTATCTATATATGTGTTTGTGTCTGTGTCTATTTGTCTGTATCTGTGTTTCTATGTGTCTGTGTGTGTGTGTGTGTGTGTGTGTGTGTGTGTGTATATGTGAGTGTGTATATGTGCATACATCTCAGCATTTCATCTACACTACACACAAATACAACCCTGCATCCAAATGTCAACACTACATAAAAACACACCACCATATTCAAAAACCAAACTACAGAAAAATGCACGCTTGCATTCAGATGCCAATACATGCAAACACACCCGTACATTCACTCACACATACTCTATACAAAAACATGCTTACATTCAAACACACAAACACTGCTCAGTGCTAAATACATTTAAAAATTAGTGGGTGTTTTTTACATTAAAGTTGGGAGGCGGATGGGGGTGTGCCAAATATAGGATCCGCACTGGGTGTCAAATGCTCCAGGTACGCCACTGCCTAGCTGCAGATGGTCACAGAAACTACAAACAGGTAGTGATAGCCTTAGTATGTCTCCCTCGCTGTCCTCTCCTTCTAATACAGGTTGTTTTGTAGTCCAGATCAGTGTCTCACCTATGTGCATACATTTCATAAGGAAGTCTTTTTCAAAAGTGAGGGGGTGTGGGTAAAGAGGCAGGCTTATGGTGCAGCATTCTGCAAAATATTTTTATTATGCAAAATATATAAAGACTTGAGCATGCAAAAACTACAGCATAACAATATGGATAAACTGTATCAAATGCATTAACATTGTATTGGTGCACAGTGTGTTCAATTCTTCCAAGATGATTGTCTCTTGTATCCTCTTAACACATGGTAAAATGTGATATTACCAACATTTACCAAGATGCATTTTGCCGACCCCGTGTCCCCACCCAAAATTGCATCTTCATTTGTGTATCCCTTAAACCCCCTCTTTAATTTCTTACCCTGTGTTGTGTTTCTTATCCTCTTTTTTTTTTAATGTCTTACCCCCCCCTTAGTGTATCTTATCTCCCTTTTGTTTTACACTCCCCTTTAGTATATATTTTCCTCCCATTTATCCCATTTTGTCTCTTACACCTCCCCTTTGTGTGCCCTGTTGTATGTCTCTTTATACCACAGTCCCTTTGTGTGCCTCTTTCTCCCCTTCCTAAACACTCTATAAGTCTCCTTCCCCCAGACTCCTTGTGTCTTTTTGTCCCAGCCCCCTCTTGTGTCTTTTTGCCCCAGCCCACTCTTGTGTCTCTTTGCCCCTGCCCCCTCTTGTGTCTCATTGCACCAGCCCCTTCCCAGACCCTCTGTGTCTGATTGCCCCAGCCCCCTCATGTGTCTTGTTCCCCCAGCCCCCTCATGTGTCTTGTTCCCCCACACCCCCTTATGGGGTCCATTTTCCCCTCTCCCAATCAGTGTCCGGTTAGCTCCCTCCTGTGTAGCCTGACCGAGCCACGTACCAGGGTAGAGGAGTTTGTTTTCCTCTCCCCGGTCTGGCAGGACAGGAGTGCAGTGCTGCATGCTCTCTTCTTGCCAGTCACCCAGCTCTGCATCCCTACGGCTGCTGCACCCTAAGGTGGCCCTCTGTGCCATCTTATGGTAGTGCAAACCCTGTGTGTGTGTTTGTGTGTGTGTGTGTGTGTGTGTGTATATATATATATATATATATATATATATATATATATATATATATATATATATATATATTATTAATTTTTTTATTGAACTAACATATTTAAAAGACAATCTTTCAAGAGTTTACCTCTCTTCCTCAGGTCTAAAAGCAATACACATTATATAGAGGTTTGCATTGTAGCTGGACCACTGCATTGTGAGCTCTCTGACTGTAGTTATGGCATAATTTGTAAACTAAATTCATTTGCAATAAACACATTTAACTTGCAATTATGATCATTTATACACAATTGCAGGGTATGGTTACATAGCGTGGAAGTCATGTATACATAAGCGCTGGTGTGAAGGGGTTATTGAAAACAAAGATTAACATTTTATTTGGGATTTTTTTTTGTTTATTTAAAATAATTTACCAAATAATCTTTTACATTTATTATTATTATTATTATTATTATTCTATATGTTCTTTATATGTGTTTCCCCATGTGTTGTATATGTATGTATAATATATAATAATAAGGTGTTTTTAGTGGGGTTTTTTTTTTAAGCACCTTTAGGTAATCGCTAAATCCTGCACTGTTGAGGAGAGAGTTGAGGAGCACTAGTATATTGGACGACTCAGTAAAAAAAGCCACTATCACTTCTCACCTTTTGTTTCTCTAAATATTTGCATGTCATTTACTTGTTACCAAATATCCCCTAATTGTAAAGCACTGCTACATAGTAGCACAGACAAATCTTAACAGTTGTTGGTGCAACTACATTAACAGAGTAATTCACTAAAATGAAAAATGTCAGGAATTCATAGCAAACTGGAAAAAATCTTCATTTGGTTTTAAGTCGTGATTCGTACAAATTTTAGCACAATGAAGCCGTTTTGTGATTCAGAGTCTGCCCATGGCATTCCAAAAATAGATGATCAACCCCTTAACGACCGCAGACCCTTCAGGACAGTCATCGGCATTTTAGCGTTGCCGACCGCTGGCGGTCCTGAACCGTCACAACGGTATTATGTACTTACCCGATCGCTGTCGTTCCCCGCGGCAATCGGCGGTGCTCCCATTGTGGGGAGACTGACTGCAGCCCAGGCAGTCTCCCCATGGTGAATTAATACCCTGGGGCCCATGTGATCGCTCAACAGAGTGATCACATGGCCACAATAGGTGTCCTATTGTCTGCCTGCAGGGGGACTCTCTGTGCTGACAGGCAGTCTCCCTGCAAGTGTAAAATAAAAAATAAAAATAAAGGTTAATGTTAATAAAAAAATATAAATCCTTGTTTGAAGTGCACTCACAGGATTATTTCAAATCGTGCTGTTTATTCAAAGCATCAAATTTCCAGTAAATGGTGTCAACGTTTCAGTCCACCAGGGACTTTTCTCAAGACCATATACGTTTAATATATATATATGTGTGTGTATATATGTCATAATAAGTGTATATTAATATAAAAATACACTTATAATTAAATTACACGTGTGTGTGTGTGTATATATATATATTATTATAAAATACAAATAAGTTAAATTAAATAAAAATATGTAAAAATAATAATAATGTTTTAAAAATTATATATCTATATGAAATGTTATTCTAACTGTATTTTGATATCAATATATATATATTTATAGCAAAATACACTTAGAATGAAATTGTATATATATCTACGTACATATAAATAAATTTTAATACGAAATATACATATGTCCATATACAAAATTACATAAATAATTATATAAATATACACCTAGACTTCAAATATATAAATATTTATGTAATACTTATTTTTTAGTATTTTTATTTATTTCAATTTGAGGGACCTGCCTGACAACCCAGGCAAAAAGTCCAGAGAATTTAATTTGCTAGCACTGTATTTTACCCTGTAACTTTCTATGACACCCTAAAACCTGTAAATGGGGGATACTGGGGTACTGTTTTACTCGGGAGACATCGCTAAACACAAATATTAGTGATTCAAAACAGTAAAACATAACACAGCGATGATATTGTCAGTGAAAGTGACTTTTATTGCATTTTTCACACACAAACAGCACTTTTACTGATGATATAATTGTTGTGATACGTTTTACGGTTTTGAAACACTAATATTTGTGTTCAGCAAAGTCTCCTGAGTATAGCAGTACCCCCCATGTACAGATTTTATAGCGTTTTTGAAAGTTACAGGGTCAAATATAACAGTCAAATATTTTTAAATTGAAAATTGGCAGGTTGGTTACGTTGCCTTTGAGAGCGTATGGTAGCCCAGGAATGAGAATTACCCCCATGATGGCATACCATTTGCAAAAGAAGACAACCCAAGGTATTGGAAATAGGGTATGTCCAGACTTTTTTTTCAAACACTGGCCAAAATTGGCGTTAAATTTAGTTTTTTACTTTTTTCACACACAAACAAATATGAATGCTATCTTTGGCCAGTGTTTGTGACTAAGTGGCTACTAAAAAAGACTGGACATACCCCATATTAATTACCCTGGGTTGTGTACTTTAAAAAAAATATGTACGTAAAAATATGTACGTGTGTGATTCAGAGATTTATGACAGATAATAGTGTTACAGTGTCACTATTGATACATTTTAAAAATATATATTTTGAAACAGCAATTTACTACTTATATTTATAGCCCTATAACTTGCAAAACAAAAGCAAAAAAGCATGTAAACACTGGGTGTTTTTAAACTCAGGGCAACATTTTTAATCTATTCAGCAGTTTTTTACATTAGCTTTCGTAGGTAAGTACAATATTTTTCAATCAAAAGTTAAAAAAAAACATGTTTTTTTTCAATTTTTCACCATATTTTTTTTTTAAAGTAAATTATATGACATGATACAAATAATGGTATATAAAGAAAGCCCTTTTTGTCCTGAAAAAAACAATATATGATTTGTATGGGAACAGTAAATGAGAGAGAGGAAAATTAGAGCTAAACACAAACACCACAAAAGTGTTAAAAGAGCCCTGGTTGTTAACATACAACATCGCAAAAACATGCTGGTCCTTAAGGGGTTAATGGTTAGTAGACATGCACTAAATCAAATAACTAAAGAAAAATATAAGTGATCAGCCAAACAGAACAATTAAAATTCGGAACCAAATGCTCAAAAGAAACAGAATATTTGAAAACCGAATGTGAACCAAATTTAAATGCTAAAAATAAATGAGAAATGCAATATATAAATTCATATACATATTATGAATCTAATTTGCAGTACCCTGATAGGTGAATTCTCATGCCCTTTTGCTTTGTCCAAATTGTTCGCATGGAAGAAATTTGGTCAAGAAATTTGGTCTGAACTGAAAAGCCGCATGGACTAAGCACATTTTTTTTTTTTTCCCGGATGAAATGATTCAGTTGAATCAAATGTTTCCACCATAAGCAAGTCGACTGTGAATTTGCTTTGAATTTCTGACAGTTCTCCAATTCTTACTTTAGTGAAATACCTTGGAAAACCTTGTACCCAGAACTCTAATACTATTAGAATTTTAACAGTAAATAAAGAGTGAATAATTTAGGGGATATTTGACAACAGGTAAATGACATGCAAACATTTACAGAAGCAAGAGATGAGGAAGGCCCTGCTCAAATAAATCATTAAATGTATGTATGTATGTATGTATGTGCAGTGCACTCACCTGAACATGCATACATTATAGATGCTGCTGGGGCCAATTCACACAGAGCAAGCATTAGGTTGTTAGAGTACGTCCTGCCAAAAATGGGGTACATTGACGTTGTGGCAGGCTTATGCAATGTATGATCATATACTGTAGGAAAACCCAAATTATTTTTTGCCTAGGTGAGGTGTTTTTAAAATAAACTATTACATCCTGTGAGATTTGAAATTGAAACACACACACACACACACACACCAGTGTATGTATGTGTGTGTGTGCATATATGTGTGTGTGTATATATGTATATATACACACATACATATACACACGGCGTGTGTTTGTGCTTTAGGGTGCACTCTGCCCGGTGCTTATCAACTTTTTTTTACTATGTCGATAAGCATCGGGCAGAGACACCAGTAAGTGGAGTGCAAGACTTTTTTTGTGTGTGTATGTATGTATATATATATATATATATATATATATATATATATATATATATATATTAAACAAAATAAAGAGATGCACTCTCAGGGCTTGTAAAATGATAAAAGAGGATTTATTCCAATAGGTATTTACATTAAAAAAAAATGACCTTTCTCAAGGGTCAAAATGTAATTTTTTTTTTTTTAATGTAAATACCTATTGGAATAAATCCTCTTTTTCATTTTACAAACCCTGAGAGTGCATCTCTTTATTTTGTTTATATATCCTTTCAACGTGGGATTGCATCCAAGCAGAAAATGTATTGTTATCTGGAAAGGGTGAGTGCCAAGATACCCACTTTTTTTGTGTATATATATATATTTACACACATTTAGGGATTTAGAGATTTAAATAATACAACAAATAAGACAAAATGTTGCCAAAAAATATATATAATATATATCAAAGTTCAAATATAAATCTGCAGTTTTACCATTTATTACATTGCTTCAAAAGAATAATTTACAAACACTAGGTTGGAAGGAAAGCAATATGTGATATTAACAACCAATGATTTCCCTTACTAGTAGTAATCTAATAAAGTATTTTATCATACACTGCATATTTTACATTTATTAACCTACTGGGGTTATTTGTTCATTATTCACATTTTAAATACCGGATTAAGATTTGTCCCTTTTAGGTTTGTTTTATATTAAAGTTATACTTTCATAGCCTTGGATTCTGTTTTTTTAGCTTAATAATCTCTGCTTTAAACTAATACCAGTGTGAGGTTTATTTACTAAACCATGGGCGGAATGCTGATATACAAGTTTAGAGTAATACAGCTTGATTGGAAACTGTTCTCAAATTTAAGTATTTTGTTTTGACTATTCTGTTCTCACATTGCTGCAATGCATAATTTAGTAAGCACCTGCATAGAAACAATATTTTGTCTAGTACTTTTTTTTTTGTAGCTGACTTACCCCATACATAGAATCATAGGACGCTCTTTAAATGTATAATCGATCGCATATTCCCCCACAGTTATCACTCCTCCAATGATAATGTCTCCATCTTTAAAATATTCATAGTCTTCATACGATTGCACTAGCTGTAGGCTGCATGGCGATGATGAGGTCTTGATTGTAGGAGTAATATAAAGGATGATCAGACACATTAGCACTTTACATGAGTTAGAAGAAGCTGCAGATCTAAGAACTGTTCTTGCAAACAGTAAACAATAACCTATTAAAATACATAATATCAGATTCAGAGACATAACGTAACACATGACTCAGTGAAACACACAGGGTCTATGTTTCATTACAGAGAACATACATTATTTCTCCTTATTTTATATAGTTTCCTAGTGATATGTCTCAGGGAATAGAGAAATTAATAACATGTTTTTACATCCAGTAAAGGTCAATAATTAGCTTAACTTAAAACTAGTAATCGAGATCAACTCTCTACTGTCAACTGAATACCCCCTGTGGATTATAATTTATGACATATTAATTCCTTAAAGACAGAGGGAATAGTACAAGTTCTGGCCAAAACAAAACCTAGAATTATTATATATTATTTTGTTCATGAAAATAGGGCTTTAATTTCACATCAAATATTTATTCATGAAACACAATGTAATATGAATGAATAAAATCTTTTAAAAAAGTGTGAGGAATTAGGAAATGTTGTTTTC